CTTATTTTGAGGAAGTATAGCAAATATACCTGAACTAATGGGAAATCTAAAGTAGACATGAAAGCGTAATTTCTAACTACGTTATGTCTTCTTTGTAGATTTTGTATGTTCCTGACCCAGACTACATTTCTAGTGTGGACAGCTCCCCCTCTTTAAGTCCCATAAGTCCCCTATCGCCTACATCTTCCGAAGCAGAGCTTGACAAGGCTACAGTAAATGTAGGTATACCTGTTATCCTTGAAATTAAATTTCCCTTGCAAGATAAATGTTACAGATGCTATGCTTTCTTCTTGATCTGTCTGTTGATTTTGAGGAGAAAGTCCTTTAGAACACTTAGAGTTGAACCATAAAATAGTACCTTTAAGTAAATACAAGCTTTTAATCTCTGTAAGTGACAGTTTTCTATGTGAAAACTAATTTGAAGGCAAGTTATTTGTAGCAAAGTACTATCCTTGCACGCTGATGTCTTAAATAGTAGTTTCTGTTGCGTTTCTGTATTTGTTAGCTGTCAGAACAAGTTAAATATTTGTCTCTAATCTTATTGATAGTTTTTGTAGCAGTGATACATTGGTGAGAATATTCAAGTACCTAAAAGGTAAGGGCTCCCTCCCACTCCCTGTAGAGTTGTGGGAGGGGTTTCTCCAGTTTCATTTAGCAAAACAAAGTAAAGGGGGAGGGGAAGTCTGTTTTAGTGAAGGGCTATTAGATTTGATTATAGCTAACTTCTGCTCAGTAGTTCCACCTGTGTAGACTTTCAAATACTAAAATTGCTTAGCCATCAAAGCTACTCTGTGATTCAGCTTGAATGTAGGTTTTGCCAGGAGCTAGCTTTGTAAAATCATGTCTTTCCAGGAACACTGGTTTACTGTCAACAGAATTCCATGGGGAGAACTTCAACCAGGAAGATGCAGTATTGGAGCCTGAGCTTCTCTGCAATTTATGCAATTATGACCTGATTCAGATATTTCTTAATATGTCACTGCTATTCTCTTGCCAGTTATTATCTTTTCTCTCAAATTACGAATTTTCTTGATAGCAATTCTTCATAGTCCTCAGTCAAGCTGTCAAATGTCTGCTCCAGGATTCTGTGTGCTCAAAGTTTAGGAGGGTTTGAGACTTTAAGCATTTATTTATTTGCTTGCATGACTTGGTCCAGAGAAGCTTAAATAAAGGGTATTGGTTTTTTTTGCAGAATAGGTTTCCAAGCTATACTACAAAGGCTATGATGACCCTTCTACTGAAAATTACTATTTGGTTTTGCTGTTATACTTTTACTCTGACACAGCCGGTTCTCATGAGATGTCTGCTGTCATTTATACCGAATCATTTCTGTTTTATGGCAAACTGAATGACCTGTAGCACAGTAAATAGACTAGTCTACAAGAATACAGTCTTCTATATCTGTTTCAGAATGATTGTAATTACTAGCATAGACCTACCCATACAGCATATGTTGTGAGAAGTTGCTCAAGGGAAAATTGTTAAGTTTTACTACTAGAAACCAGAGCTTTTCCCTCAGTGCATTAGACCCCACTTTAGAAAAATACCTTATTCTTGCTTTTGTGGATTATCATGTATATGCTTGTTTGCATGTAGTAAATAAAGAGGCTTAATAGTGTAACCACACCTGTAATTTTTATATTATTTTTATTGACTATATGTACATAGCAGAGATACAAGCTAGAAAGTGTGGAAGAATCGTGGTAGATTAAAATACTTTAAAAATTAGAAACCCCTTATGCAAAAGGTTATTTAGTGTAGGCAGTTTGACACTGGCAACAATTTGAGTGTTAAATTTCATTTAACTGCCACTTACCGTATTGTTGCAGAACTAATTAGTGCATGTCATTCCATGTCGTAGATTGCTGTAAGTCCTTAAATGCTTCAGGGAAAGTCAAACAAATCAGCAATATGACAACATATAATAAAGTGTGTTTATGGAAGTGTCTGTTTCTGAGGTCTTCTGAAGTACAGGTAAGGAGGGAAGTGATGTTACTAGATACAGTTTGTCAAAAGAAAGCAAAGAACAGAATTCACTTGCAGTTGTCAGTGTGGATTCTGTGTGTGTCTGCGTGTGCCTGTGTGGTTTTGTTTTGATTTTGGAACAGTCTCTCCAGCAACACAAAAAGCACTCAACTTCTGTTTGAGCAGTTAAGGCTGAAGGATTTTGTTCTTCATCATAGCACCTGTTTTCCACGTTTCTCTTTTCTCTCTTTGCTGATTGCAGTCCTTATGAACCAAAGAAATACTAGTATACGTTATCTAATGCTCTATATTAATGTCTGTCTTTGACTCTCCTCCAATTTTAACTCCAGATTTGCAGTTTAAATTTAAGCACATTTCAAGTGAAAGAGGGTATGCTACTCTTCCTGTATAACGTAGAGGGGTCTTCTCTCTGTGCTATGATCACTGAAATGGATGAGTTCTTGCTAGAAATCGAATAAGGTAACTAGCCAACATTTGAACGTCTGTTGAGGCAAAATATTAACTGTGGCGTGCTTTATTGTTCTGTTTCTGTTTTATCAAATGTTGGAGTAGCTGAACACAACTATGTGGCTACATAGAAACCAGCACATGGCTAACTAATAGAAGACCTGCATAACGCTGCGAAGTTTTTTACATTGCTACACTTAAGCTAATATTTCAGTATGTGTTTCAGTAAGCTTGTTAGTGTCAGTGTTTGTGTAAGAACTCAGCTTAAATTTTTAAACCTTTCTTGTGCTGCTGGGTTTTGTGAAGGGTTTTTTCATTCAGCAGTCAGATACACATATTTGAGAAGATGCTATAAGCTTTGCTACCTATAAAACTTAAAATCCACTTCAAAATAATATGTAGTGACAAGGATATTCTCATTAGATTTGGAAGTCTGCCACCAGGACTATTGCTGCTTCTTTTGTGTGGCAAGATGAATGAGAAATAGGTGGTTTATTCACAGTGTACTGGGATATCAGCTGGGGACTCTTGCAGCAACTTGCTAAGTTGTGTGCAGTCACGAAGGTGACTACATAAGTTTTAGGAAAAAGGCATATATAGAAGGAGAACTCATCTCCAGGAAGTTTGCTTTTTAATTGTGCCTTCATTAGCTTTTTCATCAAAATTCAGTTCAGTGTGTTCTAAAAGTTGTTTTGTTTTTTTGTTTGCTTTGTAACTGAAATTGAAAGATGCAGACACAGGCTAAAGTAGTGCCAGAGAGATGATGAACTGAAAACAATTGTGCATAGTGTTCCTGGGTAGGATTAAAGGCATTTAGCTGCGATATGTACTGGTGAATAGAACTGAACAGAAAAGCAGAAAACCAAAGGGAATATAGTTGTTCAATTTTAATAAATAGTAGTATTTTATTAGTAACTAAAAATAGCAGTTATGTGTGAAATGAAGTCTTTAAATGTTGATTAAGCTCCAAAACAGGGATGCTATGACTATAAAATAGGCTTTGGTGCAGTCTGTCTACTATACTTGTATCTTTTACTTGAAAACAATTTTTTGGCTGTTGGTCCTGTCCCTTGTAGGGTTCCACGTTCACTACTTTGTGCTGTTAGACAGCAAGATAGATAACACTTTCTATTATCTGCCCAGGAAGGTCCTGAAGGAAATCCTCTGGAAGCTGTATCCAGGCATGTGAAAAACAAAGATGATTGGGAACAGCCAGAGTGATTTTTTCCAAGGGTATATCATGCTGACCAGAGTGAATATTTTCTGTGATGAGATGACTGGCTCAGCAGATGAGGGAAGGGCAGTGCATGTTACTTACCTTGACTGGAGCTAGGCCCTTGACACAGTCCAAAACAGCCTTGTTACAATACTGGGGAAATGTGAAATAACTTCAAGATGAGCTGGAAAAATTGGTAGGATCTTTGGGCTCAAAGTGAATTCAGCGTTTGTGCACAGTTGCATAATTTTTGTTGTTTGTTTTTTGGTGGTGGTGGACAGTTACAAATCCTTGAGGGTCCCTACTGGTACTATTACTGTTTATAATCTGCCCATCACTGACTTGAATGGTGGGACAGAGGACAGAACGCACCATCAGCAAGCTTGAGGGGAGGGGGGCGGGCGGGCAGCAAAAATTAGGGAAAGTGGTCAATGCACTGGAGGGAAAGGCAAGGGCTGGTCATCAGTAGGACATCAAGAGTCTGGAGAGATGAAGATACGGAAGCCTCATGAAGTTCAGCAACAGCTGCCTGGGACAGAAAGAGCCCCATGTTGGCAGTACAGGCTGAGGGTTGGCTGGCTATATTGCAGCTTTGCAGAAAAAGACTAAGGGGCAGGGAGGGGTTGAGGCTGATGTCCTGGTGGACATGTTGAACAATGTCCACTTGTGATGGTGAAGGCTAATCACATGCCAGGTGGCAGATGAAAGAGGAATACCAGCAGAGTAAGAAAAGTGATTATTCCCCTGCCTGGGGGCCTTGTGAAGTTGTGTTTGCAGTGTTGTGTCCACTTCTGGCACCTCCAGTACAAGACAAAGATTGGATGCTGGAGATAATCCGGTATAGGGCTGTTAAGATGACCAAGAAATGGAAACATAGGAGGCATAAGGATTAGCTCAGAGCGTGGAGGTTTTTTAATCCGGAGAAAGAATTACTAATGGACAAATTGATTTCTGTATTGTACCACCTAGTAGCCAAATTAAAGGGAGCAGAATAAGGATCTGGATCTTCAGAGGTTCATAGTAAAACGATGGGCAGCAACAGCTGCAAGTTGCCACACAAGAGGTTCTGGTTAACTAGAAGGAAAATATTTTTCACAGTAAGGGTGGTTAAACGCTAGAGCAGGTTTCATGGAGACGCTGTGGATTCTCCAGCCTTGAAGACTTAAACTCAATTGGATAGGCTGTGGGCAATCTGATCAAATATAGGCTTGGACCTGCTTTGAACACAGGGTTGGACTTGCTGACCTTCAGGTCCTTCCAACATAAAGTAATGTCTAATATTATGGAAGGAAAACAGAAGACGTTTAAAAGGACTTTTGTTGAAGTTGGAAAAGAATCCGTTCTGCTAACTTCTGCTCAGATTTTCATGTGACAGTATATTGGATAGTTTTCTTATATGAGCTCTAATAATTATTTTGTTGTTTATTCCCAGGTTGATTCCAAATATCTTTGGCCACTTGCATTTATCGTGGACTGGTTAAGCTGTGCTTCATTAGTTACTGTCATATCAAAGCAGTCCTTTAAACTACAGTCGATTGGAACCCTATTTTCACACTTACTTTAATATTGAAGAAAAAGAAAAAAAAATACAGAACAAAAAATCTTGTAAAGTTCATATGGAAAAAGGCAGGTTGCTAAGTTTGTGGATTTTTTATGTTCCCTTTTAGGATCCAGATGGAGTCCAACGGAAAGAGTCATCTGCTTCACCAGCACATGCATGTGTTCGTCCTGCAAGAGTGGTATCATCCACCTCTGAAGAGGAGGAAGCATTTACAGAGAAATTTCTAAAAATTAATTGCAAGTACATCACTAATGGCAAGGTACTTAAACAGTCATGTTTTACTGTTACTATATGGGGTGTAAAAATAAGGTACATTTAAACCGTAAACATATAGTAGTATTTAGTTACTGATACGTAGATGGATCAGCTTATATACTTATATGTGTATATAAATACGTTCATTTCTATACTCACTCTTGCCTTTAAATTCCCTGACCACTAGTTTCTTAGACATGATGCAAGCAGTTAATATGTGACTAACCTGTGACAAACTTCCCTGTTAGCCATACTCTTAAGTGATTTTCCTGTGCTGAGCACCTGAGGTCTGTTTGTTCTTTACATTATTATCTCACATAAGTAATTCTCTTTACTTACAGTGGAGAATAACATGCCTTAAACTGCAAGGAAATGTGTAGTTGGGTAGCTTCACTTCCATTTTTCTAAAGCAGAACAGTGCTAGAAGAATTAACCTCTGATTCTGTAAACAAACACCTGTATTTAAAGCAGTAGTTACAGTTCTCTCAGTAGTGTCCTCACACAAATGCCTCCAAGTTAGTGGCACTTAATTAACCTTTGTTCAGCTCATAGGTGCTCAAGTCTTGTGCAGATATTTAGGTACTCAGACCATGTCAGAAGACTGCCTCACAACGCTTTAGGAAAAAAACAAAATGTATTGCTCTCCCATCCCACAGAAGAAAGACTGTAGGACACTTTAATCTTGAAAAATCATGCCTCAGGCTGAATGGATGCAAATAAACTCCAAATACTATAGTACTTTCTCCTTCACCTGAAGTTTGGGTATGTATGTACAAATACTGCTGATTCTGTGTTGCTCGGCAATAGGTTTGCAGATAAGTTACACTAATGATAGACAGATCAGTGAGAATCTCCTAAAACTGCTGTTTTTCTTTTTTTTGCCTGATGGAAAGGACAGTAGATCTGTGTATGTCTAAACTTGAAGCCTTTTGACAGTATTTGTATATTAGCAAAAGCTATATCTTAGTAGTTGGCAAGGCAAATACTGGGAAAGTTTTGTTTGGTACTTTGTTCTACTTTGCAGTTAATTGCTTCACTCCTTGCATTCTGTTCCTAGGTGACTTGTTTTAGAATGATCCTAGACAAGTCATTACTTCTCAGTTTGAAGTGCTCTGATGTGGAGGAATTGAGAACTGTGAGCCTCTGTTAGAAATTGACTGTACAGGAAAAATACAATCTGGGGTTAAAATTTATAGCATGTTATCTAAGTGCCATAATTCCCCATCAGAATATTATGGGGAGTATTCACAGCATCTATCTTTGACTTGCGTCTTGCAGCCTATTTTCAAAGAGCTTCAAGGAGAGCTGTTTCTAGAGAGTTGCATAACCCACCGCAGTATCAGCCTTTACTTGGGGAGGTGGGTGGGGAGAGAAATGAGTGATGGCTTGCTCAGATTTGAGTGCCAGATTTCGCAAGTTTAGCATGTAATTTAGCCTTTGTGTCACATGTGGTAGGAATATCCTCTGGCATGTCATCTTGCCGCCTTCTTGATACGTTTCCTGATAATGCAGGCTGATAAATCTGCGAAGGTTTTCTGGAGAAAGCTTAGAAGACTCATCCTCTGCTTCCTATTCTGGAAGTGATTTTGAAGCTCGTTGTTAACTGTTTTGTAGTGCTTCAGATGTGAAGCCCTAGTCATTGCTGTGACTGATGCTTGTAAACTAAAATCTAGTGAAAGCCTCTTTTTCCATGTGTTTAATTTCACATATGTGAAAGAGCTTGCATTAAGGTATGACTGTCTCGTTTCTCGCTTTTCAAGATTGGTTATTCTGTATGTGTTTGGTTTTAGTCACACCTGTGACTTCCTGGACAAGCACGCAGTGGCTGGAACCTGGAAACATTTGCTGTGTTATAATATTTGCTCTGTTATCTGTTTCTGACCACTGTTAGAGGCAGGGTGTTGGGCACAGTTAGAAACAGGATGGTACGGATATGCCACATCCGGGTCAGAATAAATCAGTGTAGCATAACCAGTGTGCTGCAGTCACACCTTAACTCACGGTTTATTGCATATGTAGGCATGCCCTTGCTTGCAGCCACACTGTTTTGCTTCTTTTGCAGAAAGTATGCTGCTCTGTTTTTTCATTCTTTGCACTGTTTATTGGAAGCAGAAAAAGGCATCTTAAACAGTCTGTCTGCTTGATTGAAACAAAGTAATAGAGAAGCTTTAAAATTCTTTGGTTTCTTTCTTATGTTTTCTAGTTTACTTACTTTGTTTTGAAAAGTGGTAGGTAAAAGAAAATTAGCAATACTAAGGCTTAAAAAAAAACCCAAGCCAAACAACCTGGCAATAGGGGCACAAAAGGCATGAATACATAGTTCGTGAAGTGATAAGGAGGACACTGCTGAGGTTCAAAACTTCTACAAGAATCAAATAATAAAACTAAATTGTTATGTTTATGATAAAGGCTTCGTAAGTCAAGAATCGCAGTTTTTTGTTCTACCTTGGGTGTTCAGGAACATAAATTACCTCTAAATAATTCCATTCTGTTTGAAAACTGCTTGTCGGAAGTCCTCTCAAACCTTCTTAAAAGTGCGTTTTACTGAACTGCCTAATCTTAATGTCTGGGATCACAGTGTCAAAGTTTGGCTCTAATCCTCCCTTTATCATGGTTGTTCGAAAATCTGTCCTGGACATTAGATAGGACTTAGGGCTCCCACTTCCTGAGGTTGAAGGTACTTCAGTGGAAAGAAGTTAAAAATAATTCAGATCTGAATATCTGCATGCAGGTGAATCTGCTTTCAAGATGCATGTTTTTGCTTATCTGGATTAATATTTTTTGGGAACAGCCTTAAGACTAAAAATATCTATTTTTAATAACCTAGTGTGTCCACATGCTTTTCAGTAACAAAGTGGCTCAGATTTTCTCCTTCAGCCTGTTAAATCTGAACTTCACCTGAACAGAAATTCACTTCATGGCTTTAGAATCTGTTTCGTGCACAGGAAACTTCACTTCTGCAAATGGTAGTTTGGTGGATTTTGTTCAAGAACCAGACCTTCCTGTAACATTATCATGTTGAACTAGTTAGTAGGTATATGCAGAGTCTAGTTTTTACTTCAGTTTCATTGACAGAGTTTTTGATACTTTTTTCCTCAACAACTGGTTAGAAGTCTGGCCCAAGAGAAACAGGTTGCTGGTTATTTGGTGGAGGATGTCCTGAAAAACTGTTTCCCACAGTGCTCTATGAACAGTAGAGCTGCTTATAGACATTTTGTTTTCCCCTTAGGACTGGACAACTAGGAGACTAGAGCAAATGCTGGCAGTGTACTGGAGTCATGTATGAGTTTGCAGTGTGCATGCCATTGCCCGATCTTTTTGCTTATGCTTGTGCTCCGATTTGCTGATCTCTCTTGCTACATTATTGGTAGGAATATTTTTAAAAAATATTTTGAAAATTGACTTTGTCTAAAATAGAGTCAAAGAGCTGTTTCTAAAGTGGTAAGTAAATATTTGATTTCCATCAAAAGGATCTGTGCTGAAGACACAGTGTGACAGAGAATGACCACAAAGGAGAGAAGCTTAGCTGATCTCCATGTGTTGATATGAGTAGGTGAGGGTATAGGAAGGGCTTTACTGTGTAAGTAAGCTTTCTGAAGCTTTTATTTTCTGAAGAATATATTCACACTGAAAATATTTTCAGCAGCTCAGCCAGGCCAGAGAGGGAGCTTTGGAACTTTCTCCCTGATCCAAAAGCAAGGAACCAAGATTTTATGGGGTGCAGGCTTCAGGCTATCAGTGTTCTTCAGTGCTTGTAAGATAGCAGGGGAGGTTAGGTTATCGAAAATAAGTCACTGAAGAACAGTATGCTGTAGGTTTTTTCCCTGGCATCAGTGTTGTTACCCATTTCTAGGTATTTTGTAGAACAACTGTGATATCTGCTGCCATAGTGCATAAATACATATGAGTAACCAGAAAAGTCTGTTCAGAACCAAAAGTGAGTGCAGGGTACTAAAATGCTTAAGAATTCATTGCTGGCTTACTCGGAGACAATAGTTCTGAAGTATATATATTGTAGGAATGCTGACCTATAGTGGCAAACTTACAAGGAAATGCAGTTTCAGGTACACTCCTTTAAAGAGGATATGTCATTTTGTGTTCACTTATGCAAAACTGTGGTGTTAGCTCTCAGAGGCTGGAGTGGCTTCAGTTCCCATCTGTCCTGGGTTTGGCCAGAACAGGGTTAATTTTCACCGGAATCCAGGAAGGGGCACAGCCGGGGGGTGGGGGCTGACC